CCAATTCTAAGCAATGACATTCCTGGGAGTAACTGACAACCCCCTGCCTGTGCTTCATGAATTTGACAAGAAAAGCAGACTTTAAAGTATTTTCCTGTTCTAGTCAGTGTTTTACATCTTATCCATTACTGAAAGTATTTTCCTGAACACATTTTCTTCTCCCTGAACACCAAACTCACACTTTAACCAGCTTGTCACAGTCTACAGAGATAAGTAAACAGACTTCCGAACATACTGGAAGAGGGACAGTGACAACTGCAGTCTTACTCTGGGTGGGCTAATTTTCCATCCTCTGTTACAAAACCAGAAAATATATGAACTATAATGAAGATAACTATACATGCCTGTGATAATCTCACTAATAACTTGGTAGCATGACAGAACATCTCCTATTACTCCTCCTTAAGATCAAGGGTCCAACTATGGCTTTGCATTTTCAAGTTAGGTATGTGTCAACCGTGATATATGGATCTCTAACACGAGAAGAGATGTCCCTATTTACAATTTCTTTTAATGCACCAACAGTGAAAATGAACTTTCAAGTTGGAATTTTAAAGGCAGTGGTTTTCTTGCAGAGCCCTGGAGATTTCAAGGTAAGGAATATCACATGTTACAAATCATAAATCAAGCTCAGAATTACATCTTTTCAAGATACAAAGGAAATTTTAGAAGGTTTACTCTGTAAACAGAGTGCTCCTCTGATTCTAAAACCACCTGCTATTAATTCTCTGGATGAGAAAACCATGAAGCAGAGCAGTTATATATAAAAGCCTCATGCTGCTAGAAAGATTTTTTTTTTAACGCCGCACCAACTCAGCATACTAACAGATTATAGTAAAACAAACCTTTTATTTCTTTTAAAAGTTTAAAAAGCTGAGTGGAAAAATTACTAGCCTGCTCTGCCTCAGAGACTAATTGTTCAGAATACTAGTTATTTTTGTTATTCCTGTTCCACCACATTGTGCATTAATGGCATGACAGCAGTTATGAACAGGAGCATTCCTTTTGGAAACAATTAATTCAGTCTGGTTGGCAGAATAAAATCTAACTCATAGAGAAGGTAAGAAACAAATTTCGGATGCTGCAATCAAGTCTGTAGTCTCAGGTTTTACACTTACAGCATCCTTGTTCATCTGAGCTGTCACTGCAGTCCAGGTTGTGATCACATTTCTTGCTTTTCCCGATGCACTGCCCACTAGCACAGCGGAACTGATCGGTTAAACAAAGCACTGGAAAGAGAACCCCCCACACACCAAGAGTCAGTATCAAAGACACCTACTCTTTGAAATGATTAAAAAAGCAAGACACCAAAGAATACAATCAGGAGTATCTTGGGAGAGCTTAGCCTGACGCTAGCTTCATTTCTTGAAGTAGCCAGTGACACACAAAATCCCTCACGCTAACCATGCAGAAAAAGTGATTCAGTGTTCTGCTGAGGATATTGCACAGTGGGTACCTTGTCCTTACTCCCTATTTACCATAAGCACACTGCAAGATAAAATTACCTTGACTAAAATAACTCAGAAGCAGAAGGCCACTGAGAATGCAGGCACTTATCCCAGGACATGGTTATTGCAAAATTACTGTAAGAATCCCCAACTCTAAGCATTTACTGTAATATAAGAGAGAAGAATTAAGTTATTAAAAATAAATCTGCCAAACCATGATGATAAAATTGTTTAAGGAAGATAAATGTGGTTCCTCAATGCCCTCATGCTCTTCCTGTAAACCAGAAAACTCCTTGATCATGGGACAATGTATTTCATTTGACATTATGTTTTTACACTGAAATGAAAGACAGAAGATAAAACTGGAGCTTTGCCAGTACACTCAAAAAATAAACTACCACTTTGGGAAAAAAGGTACTGCAGGCAAGGTGCTGGCTGCTGTTGTTTACACATATTTATGCCTCTTGTTTCTCATAAATCCAGAAATCCTTTCTGACTTCAGTTGAATTAAGAAGTTAAACTAAAGGCTTTTCTGATATGTAATCAACTTGAATACTCTGAATAACAGGGCTACTTTGAAGGTGATAAACAGCCCCTGGTCTGATATCTCCAGTCGCTGGATGGCAACTGGGAAGCTAACTTGCACAACGTATTTTCAGATGTCAGCATCTCATCTGGCTAACAATCACCTTTCATCACACAGGAATTTCTGCATCAGTCTGTCTGGTTTTGTTTGAACTGGAGCACATCTTTTGGAAAGAAATTCAGCCTTGATTCAGAGACCCTTAGACAGTCTCTTCAAAGAAGGAAAATTATGTACCGAAAGGATATAGAGAAGAGGCATCCTTTCAAGCTTACAAGTTGTCCCTACAACTCCTCTCTACTTGCAGAGTGGGGAAAGGGTGAGTTTGCTCATATTTCACATTGTCTAGCGGTGGGGTAGCTCAGATTCCACCAGCATAACCTTGTCCTTTCCAAAATTAAAGGAACCTAATTATCTTTGTGTTGGCAATAGCACTTCCCTCTGTAGCGATGGCTTAAATACTCTCTTTTGCTGTGCTCTGTAGGGAAGAAGAGGTCTCCAGGAATCTTGTGTCTCACTCCCACTTACTCAGAAAAGCTTAACTTCACTTTGTTCAGGTATTAAAAAATAAACAATCCCAAGAGCTTTACTCAGCACAAGGTACGCAAAAAACTATGACAAGGATTTGCTCCACTTTGTAATTCACTCCCAGTTACCAGGTTTTTAGAGCTTAAAAACGATATCATCTTTTTAATATCAATGTTTTTAAACATATCATCTTTTTAACAGTACTTTTCACAAACAGAGCTTAAATCACTGTGCAGGAGATTGGTGTTATTTCTATCTCACAGGTAGATAAGCAAAAGTATGGAGTTGTGAAATAATTTCCAATTTAATCAGTTTAAAAACTAGCAGAACCTCAGATCCTTCCAAATCCTACTCAGCAATGACTTTGGTATCTATCATAGCGTCCCCATGACAGCTTTATTTTCATCGCAATCTGAAAGATCCTCTGTACCTTCACAGTTCTTCTCATCAGAGTTGTCCTGGCAATTTGCTTCTCCATTGCACCGGAGGGCACTGTCTATGCACTGTCCACTTTCACACTGAAACTGGGTGTCTGAGCACACCGGGCAGTTCTTTTCATCACTGTGGTCTTCACATTCAGTGAAACCATCACAGCGCCAGGCCACTGGGATGCAGTCAATCTCACCTGTGAAACAGGTGAACTGCTGAGGGGAGCATGTTGGTGGTTCTTTAAAAATCAAGCAAACAAACAAAAATTAAAAATCCAGGTGAACAAACAGTAGATCAGGACAGGTAAGGACAAGAAGAGTTCAGCTGCTTTCATTTATCAAGCAGCTGATAAATGTGCCATGTCATAAGGTAACTTCCACCCCTGCTCCCTCCAGAGCAATTTGTGCAGATCTTGAGCACCATGCGACTAATGCAGGCTCACATTGAAGGAGGCTCATTAGACAGAGAACAAGAGGAACAGAGGAATATGCACACTCAAAAGAGTTATTTTCTTCCCTTCCCTCTTCATCCTCTTACACCCTTCTCGATAGGTCTTCAAAAGTCTTCATTTAAAGTCAACACGCTTCTCTACTCCCCCTTTCTTGCAACACCATTGTATACACAACTGATTGCTCATTTTCTTTTTAATGTTTGACAATCATTGTATAGAAAACGTTAAAAGGATGTAATGCGCTGCAGATGGATGCACTGTGACTCAATGTCTAGTTATGTGCCCTCAACAGCTCTGTTCAGTAAAAAATTCTTTTAAAATGACAAAAAACTGCTCCATCTAGTCAAGTCCCACTATCTCAACACAGCTGTTAGCTGTTATTTAACATCTACTACAGTAACTGTTAATCTCATGCAGTAAGTGTGGATTTTTTTTCCTTTTTTTTTTTTTTTTTTTAATCCCCCTTTCCTCTCCCCCCCCTTTTTGGCCTGGTATCAAACTTGCTCTGAGAAAATATCTGGATTATTTTAGCTATTGCTCCATTGTGAGACCACACGTCGCCTTGATGGCAAGAAGATTGCATAATAAATGCATTCAGTACGGTGGCACAAAGAGACTCGAGCACCAAAGTGCCTCTCCTCTCCCCCATTTCAACCCCACCCTTGGAGACACCAGGGCGTAGGCTACAGTGGCTGTATCACCATGGAGGAGGCAACTCACTCTTCTGGGACTGCAGTTCAGAAAAAGATGCACCGGCTGAGTTTGAGGAGGACAGCAGAGAAGGATAAAATGGCACAGACATGGTGCAATATGCCAGAACATGAGAATCTACCGCTATTTGAAAAGGATAGCATACAGAGCGGTAGAAAAAAGTAATAAAAATCACACAATTAAAAAATCAAGTTCAAATAATTCAGTGGTCTTAAGTAGAAATAGTGAACATAAATCCTTATTCAACAGTCAACTAGTGAATTTTTTCCCTTCTCTTACTCCTCAGTACTTGGAAGATTTAGCTGGGGGTGGGGGGAGGCACCGAGGTAAGCATGTAAAAGTGCATAACAGCACCTGGTGCACTGTCCATTCTTTCTGCTCAGAAGCCACCCCTAAAGATGGAGACACCCCCAACCCAGAGGGCGAGAGCTCAGTGACGCAGAACACAGGAGGGACTTACCTCCACAGGACAGCTCATCCTGCAGCAGAACAAGGTGCACTGGGCAGGAGCAGCGTGTGGTGCCGTCGCCCTTCACGATGCAAATGTGTGAGCAGCCACCATTATCTTGAGAACAAGGATGTTGTCCTGTGATTTTAAAAATAAGAAAAACAGGTACTGACAAGAAATCCCCACCTCTTTTCTGATCTTTCAGTCTTTTCTTTGGGCTCACCTGACTCCCTTCATTACTTCCTTCCCCCTGTGGAGAGCACTACTAAAAAATCTGACAAAGTTGTATTTTGTCGTGTGCATTTTGTCCCTTTACACACACAAATAATTATCATGCACATCGGTAACTATCCATGATCTGAAACACTTAAGATTCGTGCCATGGGGTCTACTAAAACAGTAAACAGTACTCAAAGTGTTTTGCTTCTTGTGTGAAGTAGAATTAGTTCTGCAGCAAAAATATTAGCGTTAGTAGTATCAAAAGATGCCTTGGATTCCATACTTCCTTTTCTCTATCAAAGACCATTAAAAAAGTAAACTTTTCTAATTTATGAATTCTGAAGCTTCCACACTGTCTCCGAAACTCAAATTAAGATGCTCTAGATAAATATGTCTCTTCATTTTAATGTTTAATAAGGACAACATACTTCTCTTGGAACTCCTGACAGATTTACTGAGATTAATAGCAAACAAAACTAGTAGTAGTCTGCACTGATGCTTTAATTAAACATCCCCAGACATTTTTCTACATATTTCTCCAAGGCATGCACCACAGCCTATTAACCAGGCCTATTTTCTCCAGGATGATGGCAGCCCCACTGCTTTAACCATCCAGCTCCCATCATTTCAATCACATGTGTGTGGGGAAAGGCTATCCTGGCAAACTGAAAAACTTTTAGAAGTGCAGCCATGTTCAGCACAAATTATTATTTAATACACACTTCCTTTGTGCAATGCAATGTTGCTCTTCCATCATTTACTTTCAATATGAATTGCCACCAACAAAAATTGTACACTTAGCCTTCAAGGGAGGCGGACCTTTGAAACATTTACTGCTAGTAAAAGGCCCTGAGAGCTGTGCTTGTCTAAATGGAGTCAACACCTAATAGTGCCTCACTAGTGTGATCCAGAAAATCCTCCACTAGGGATAACAGGTCATTTCCACTGTGCCTATAGACACTCAAATGCCAGGTGCCTGTATGGGACTACCAATGAAGTTGTCATCAGCAACAAAATGCGATGCTGGTTTTGTGACAGATTTCCAGCCCATTGCCAACTGCTGGAAGGAAACAAACTTAATTGCACCCTGGCGATGTACAGACACAAAACAATACCAACTTCCAGCCCCTTCGATCTGCACTGATGTTGATCAGTGACAAGGCAGAACAGGCTCATCTCTCCATGGCCACTCCTTGTCTCAAGCCTCACAGGCACTGTTTGTACTTGCAAACACGGATTGCACTTACTGTATTCCTGAATGTTGAGCTCTTTCACAGCATGGATGTCACTGAGTTGTGCAATACGAGCTTGGACCTTCGTACGTCCTTCTCGACCAGTCATATCAATCTTTTCAATCATCTGCTGTTGCCTGTCAATCCAATACAGCCAGTTTTCAAATACAGTTAGTCCCACAGGCTGCAAGATATTAGAGTCTTCCAACACGATCCTGTTAGCACCTGCAGAAGGGAGAGTGGTTTAGCTCAACTAGAATCAACTGAACTACTATCACAAACATTTTCTACACTACTCACACCACTATTTGCTACTACTTTTACACTGCCAGATAAGCCCACTATAAAAACACAAGCAATCCAGGGTCCTCTGATACAAGACTGATGCATTTTGCAGACAGATGATAACTTTTTTTCCCCTGCTTTCATCAAGAAGATCGGTTTTGTGCTTCAAATGCATTTATTTTAAGAAGCATCTGGAGTTTGGGGCTCTGCTTTCATGAGCCTATCCAGTCTTTTATCGATATGATGGGAACCGATAATTCTTTTCAATTCTTCTATCCGTTTTTGGAGAGATTAACTGCTTTGTTTTGGTATACAACAGGGAATAAGAAGATGGATTATTAGCTTGAGTTAACTAATACAAGATAAAATACAAGTGAAGACAAGGTAGTTAGTACTTCTCACATGACTTAAGAGATTAAGGTAAACACTTGGCTTCTGACTTCCTCATATTCTTTTGTTTCAACTACATTATCTTCATTAAGGTCTTCATGCTAAATTGGGAATGCTCCTTTCTTCCCAGTGAAGACTTCCGTTTCCTCAGTTCCTTTAGCAATCATTGGTAGCAGCCAAGAGGCTTTGGCCTTACCCCTCTGAAGCGTATTTGTTGACTTCTGTGCTAGATTACCTGGCATTACATATAGTCCAGAGCAACTGCCAGACATCATGGTTAGCATTCCACCTAAACAGAAGTCTGCAGCCGTTTTAAAGGTATCATTAAAGACTGTCCAAAGACAGTGAAGACTTCATAACTCGTACACAGAAGTAAAATAAGTTACTCAAAACCTGAGAGGTCAAGAGTGAGGTTTAATCCATGCTTTGTTTATTTTACATGACATGACGTGGCCATTAACACTCAAACATTCAGTGAGGTTTATTGTATTTCAAGCATAAAATTTCTCACAAACGTAAGGAATCTGCTTCAATTTTGAAATGCTGAAACAATACCACAGTCTAAAATTAGGCCACAGCTTGAAAATGTACATATGAATCCTGGTATTTCAGGTATCTGGGCTCACTGCTATGCTTATTTTTTACTTTTACTACAGCAGACAATAGCTTTGCATATGTTCATCCACAAAATGATTTCCAAGAAGTTTCTACCATGTCTCTACCATACCCACACAAGATAATGTTATGGTACAAGAGACATATATTTTATGATTTTATACTTTGAGCAGGTCCTATCCCCTCTGTTTTTATTAGTAGCAAAAATGGGTTTTGGCTTGTTGAGAATTTAATCAACAGTATGCCAGTGATGATGACTTACAAACAAATTCAACTATAAAAAATATATTTATTTCCTTTTCACTAAATGCATACAGAGCTCAGAAGTTAAGTAACATTCCAAACTTTTAGCAAGTGGTAATATCTAAAGCAGAACACAGAAATTCAAATATTAATCCTCAGCTAGACTGGCTTCTCACCCACCACTTTGGAATAACACCAGCAATGATCTGATTAAGAAAAGGGGTTGATGGATTCTGAAGGAGGCTATACCCAGACTGATGTAGAAATTAATAGACTGAGTGATGCAAGTCAAACTAAATAACTGCCACCGCCTATTAACCCCCATGAACATGACTCACTGTATAGGTAAGAAACAGCAACCTGCATCTCAAGAAGAAAAGCTAAGCTGGGAATAGGGGAAAATGCAAAGATGACAGAAAGGAATATAGTTAAAACTAAGACCTTGACCTACCCAAATGGAGTCTGTACATGCCCTGCTCTGCCATGCCCATGTCAGTCAGCATGGCATTTTGCAGTATGCTCCTAAAGCTCTGAAGCTTAAAATGTTCAGTCCCTTAATGTCTTAATCTTTCTTTTTAATATTTGTAACCAAGTGTAACTGACTATTTCTGACTAAACTGAGACACTGAAATCCCTCCTTCCATAAACCAACAATAAAATCCAAAGCTGGCTCGTCAGGGTGCTAGTCCCATTTATTGGGAATGTCAGATGAAAGGAGATGTGATTAAGAGGAGCTTTGTCTCCTGGCATCACCATTCTCTTTCCAGCAATACCTTTTACAAAAAGATTTAAAAACAAACAAACAAATACAAAAATCAGGACACACCCATAGCTCATTCTATTTTCAAATAAAAATTACTTAATTCCAGAATCATTAGATGTTTCCAAATCACACTAATTATTCTGGCATAGAAGAAGTAATTTCCAAATAGTTTCCATGGCAGGGAGCTAATTCCAGTCATCTTTTCATAAACAACCCCTTAATCATGTGAAGAATCTGGTTTAACTTCAATAGGATCTCCCATTTGGGCAGCATAACCGAGTCCTAACTGCATGCCTGAAGGACAGGGAGGAAGAGAAGGACTGCATCACATAAAAGGCATTCTAGCTGTCCTTCTCTTTATGGGTACTGGCATCTACAGTCGACAGAGCAAGAGACTGTGCGTGTTTTTAAGAAGCTAACATGCAGAAAAACTACTCTGCCAGTCAAAAGAGCCTATTAATCAGCATTCCTAAGCACAGGAATGCATCTCAGCAGTTAGCAATTTACTGTGGTGATTATAGCAATCTATCTGCAGTGCAAATGCCAAAAAGCAAGAGACCTTTTGGAATGATTTTTATTCATGTTCTTCGAAAACATGGCGAGCTTTTACTACACAACATTGGCGATCCAACAGCCACATCTTTTTAAAAAATCATTAAAAACAGACTAGATTAGAATTTAGACCCATCTCCTCCTCTGGTGTCCTAATTTCTGGCAGATAACAGACATGAAGAGAGAAACAAAGCACATATGATGTTCTGCTGCTGCCCATAGCTTTATTCATGCAGACCCTGGATCTGGGATAGCCTAGAACATACCAGGATACACCATACCACTTTTTTAAAAAAAACCAGTTCACTAACTCAACTCATCTTACGTCCTGTGTTTTAAAATAGTAAACAGTCAGAATATTGCAGTTCATTTGTGACCTTGAATCTTCCAGTGACACACCACGTTAATCACTGAAAAAAATTACTGTCTTGGTGAGCCTCAATTCCAATCATCTAGAAAACCTGAAATGTTTTCCAAAATAAAAGCTTATTCTAGCAGCATAATAAAAGGCTGAAAATCACACTGGTGTCAGTGGGATTACACATTGCTACTTTGAATGAAGGTATCATGTCATCAGTGAAAACTACCATACTCTCGTTAAGTTTTCAAACTCGCTCAGAGATTGCAAGGTGTGCCCTTATTTCCTTACACACGTACTTATGCTTCTGATAGCAGAGTAACACTCGGCTGAAGTACAAGGACATGCACTATTCAAACTCGGGATGGACTTACTGCAGAGGAAGGAGAAATTCTGCCACTGCCCTCCACTAGCAGCAGAGCAAGGGGGCATACACCCCATCACCTACAGTGATGGACAGGTCCCATCCTGGCACTCCCATCAGCAACATCCAGCCCAGCTTGTATCACAACAAATTACTACCAAAGCCACGCTGGACAGCTGAGCTGATCCCGCAACTTGCAGGATCTGGCTTGTACACAGGATATATCTCAGTCTCTCACCCAATCCGACTGCATGATTTTGCCTCTTCTCTTGCTCCAGTTCTGGTTGCTTGCTGGACTCTTGCTGAGCCAATTCAGCTTTCCAAACTAACAAAACACTGTCCTCTAGTTCTCTTCTTATGTATATTTTTGTTAGGTTATTGCTTTGCTTATGTGGCTAAGTGAGCTGAATCAACTCACAGAGGAGGTTAGACAAGCAACATAACCAACCTTAGGAAGCAGGCAAAGAGAATTCCATAGCTGGAAGAGGGAGAGGTTTTGCCTTTTGAGAGATGTTAGATCTGCTTTATCCTTCTTGCATCACTTCACCCTAAATGACAGGTACATAAGTGACCTGCACACCTGCTGCTTTAACTCTGCAGGAAAAATTTTCCCACTAACGGGAAACGTTCCTCTGATTGACAGATTACTACACTAAAACCAATGCTTTTACAAACAACCCTCTCCCTCCACTTTCCAAAACTGCTGCAATTTATTTATGAACTGACTTTGGGAAACCACACGAAGGTCTTGCAGTGAGAAACTGAAGTAAATGCTATTTACACATGCTATGTGTAGCAATTAATAATGCAAATCATAGATAGAGGCATGAGACTGTAAAGGCACGCTGCATGAATCATGCACATTCTCTGGCTGGGAATTTAGGGAGCGATTAGAATCACAGTACAGACTGTTTATAGTAGGAAGGAAAAGACGACACCTTTCCCTGCATTCCCCCACACCCACACCCCACAAATGAATCACTGAATTAAAGTGTTACTCTACCTGAAAGGTCACTGCTTTCAATTCTCCGCAGGTCTGAATCAGCCCAGAACAACTTGCCTAGCTGGCTATCAATAGCTAAGGCTATGGGCTTGCTCAAACCACTGAAAAAAAGGACCTCTCGTTCAGTTCCATCCAATGCTGCTCTCTCAATTTTAGGAGACCTTTCCTGTAGGTTGGTGAAATACATGTATCTGGAATAGGAATGATTAGAGGAAAAAAAGTTTATTTGATCTTTCCACATTTTTGCTATATGACCAAGACATCTAACAAATGTCAAAGATGTTTTTATTCTGACAAACAGAAACCAACCAGCAGAAAGAAAACAATTTGATTCTCAAGACCTTCAGCCTGAATTTCCCCACATCACATTTCAGCTACATACCCTTTCTCTGGATTCACCACAATGGCCCTGGGCCTATCTTGATCTCCTTTGAGCACCACTCCCATGGGTCTCCCATCCAGGCGTGTTACATTGATCACATTAGTAGCTTCACAGGTCCAGTAGATATAGCGGCTGTAGATGTCAATGCTCAGGTCGTAAGGCTGCATATCTAGGTTCTGATTGGGAACTGGACTTGTCACAACAGTAAGGCTCTGCAAGAAGAAAAACAACCCATAGGGGAGCATTTAATCTGATCCAACGTGAGCAATTTTATTTGCTATGGATGCACCACATCAAACTACTGCTCAGCAAAAGGAGACTGCCAAAATACTATCATAAAGTAAGGAGACACCCAGGTCCAGTTGCCCCGCCAACACCTTTGATCAGATACAGACGCTTAGTCCTGATGTTTTGTTGCAATGGAAATCATGCAAGTTGGTTGCAGCTCATAAGACCTAGCAAGTTTGACCAGTAAGCCCAAATTGTCTCTATGTTGAAGATTCAGGGTCAGCTTCTGTGTTTCCTCTGCTTTCTTGACAAGTCTAAAGTTCAGTTTGGGTAGAACCAAACCCAGCACATTTAGCACTCTACAACAGAAACGCATCACCACTAATTCCCAAAGTTGCAGCTGAACAGATAAAAACACAGACAAGTGAGGCCAGACAGCACTTGTAATTCTCGCCTCATTCTTCTCCACCATCACTGCCATCACACTTGGGGGACATAACACAAGGATGAATAATAAATGGGAGGGCAACCCCGCCAACAGACAGAAAGGACATCAGCTAGAATATGACAGTGACTTTAGAGCATTTCCAGCTAACACCTTTCTGCTTCAAAGTTCTTGCCATTTACTGGTCCAGACCTCTGGAGTTCACATACTTTTTTACCTTTTTTTTTAAGAAAGAAACTGCATCGTCTCCCTATAGTGAAAGGTGAACCTAACTGACCTCTTTCATGAACTTTTCAAAAAATCTTAAGAGGACTGATAACTCACAAAACTAAAAACCTCATGCTTTTGAGGTGACCAGCCCCCATCCTCTCACCCCCAAATTAAACTTCACCATAAAATCTGCCAAACTTTATTTGGCTTGTCACCCCTATGAAAGGGCGTGCCTACAAGTCTTACATTTGTTTATTCTGCTGAAGCTGGCAAAACCCAAAAACCTGGTGCCTTTGCCCAGTTTTGGGTGTTAAATTCCCACCACCAGAAACCACACTCTCTTACAAATTAAACTGAATATAGCACCTCCATGTTGTTCATCTTAGTCTCCCGCTTCTCCCCCATTCAAAAAATCAGGAAGAAAAAAAATCTATTTTAAAATGTGAAAATGAGTAAGTAGCCATTGCTCACAATTAACCTCACTAAATCTGCATCACCTTTTGCCTTCTACCCTACTCTACTTTTTCTGTATTCCCCAGGCAAATACATTTTTCCCAAGCCTGCTACATCTCTTATAGGTCACTAGTTTCAACCTCCTTGCTCAGTGCCTTGGTGGTCGACACCAACTCTCTACCTATCCCCCACCAGAACCTGGGATACTTCAGACACAGATGTGTGCTCACAAAGTCCCACCCTCTTCGTTTCAGAGTCAATGCCCCTGCACCCTTCTTTGCAACTCTTCCTTCTGACACATTTTGTTTCTTCCCATCCACGTTTCATTTCTCTCAAATGGGTTTCCAACAGCCCCCAGCCAAAAGACAGTGTTGAGCAAATAAGGCACTGTGAACAACAGTATCTTTAAGTTGGCCTTAGTTTTCCATGGTTTATTTCCTGCTGCATCTCCCAGATTACTGGCTGAGGACTCGAGAAACTCCAGATGCCACTTGTTTTGCCAAGTGACAGCATCTACAGGAAGTCCATATAGCTAAATTATTCATGTACAATCATTCACTGTTGGGTGTAGGGCATGCCTTCCTCATCTTCCAGTAATTCCATCACCCGCAGGATACCTGGCTGCCGTCTTCCTGTGCCTTCCGGATGATGTTATGCCGAGAATCAATCCAGTACAGCTGCTTATCCAGGGGGTCATAATCAATGGCTCGAACGTTCCTGAGACTATGGATAGGGAGTATGATATCTGGACTCTGCTGCTCATCTATCACCATGCGATTAATTGCATTCTTCTGGCTGAACAACAGAAAGGTTGTAGGAGCTTGATGGGTTAAAAAAAAATAAAAAAGGAGGGTGAAAGGGTTATACATAGGTACATTGGGTATTTGTATGTTCAATAATGACAACTACTATATATAACCAGACAGTATCTATTCTTTCATTCTCCTTCTCCCCCTGGGGGAAAAAACCCATCAAAACAAAGCACAAAAATCCCAACTTCTGATCAGTTTGAAAAGCCTTTCAAATGACCTCTTTTTACTATAAATGTCTGAATGTGGATTTGACAGGCAACGGTAATTTTCTAAGTCACAGGACTAATGAACATGAAGACTTCTGTCAAAATCACCTCAAAGAACGGTCAGCCATGCCTCTCAAGGAACTGTCAATTTTCTTTCTAAAGGTATCCCAGGGAAATGCAGCTCCACTATTCTGAAGTTGAACGTTTTGCTAGGTATACTTCTACTTGCAGAGGAAGCTGAGCAAAAGCCAGCACTGGTTCCTTATTTAGAGGTCCCAGGGAACAGAGATTGCGGAACAGAGATTGCCATTAGAGTGGTTTAGTCCTGTTCCCACAAGCCTGCACCAGAATGAAAGGACTAATTCACAGGTGTGCACAGGCTTCGTTTCTGGAGAAAAATCTATTCACTCTTCTCAAATTTATGTATCTTGCTTATTTCTAGGTACTTATCTAGGAATGCTAACTGTAATCAGAAAAAAAAAAAATCTGATGCTCTGCTCCCACTTTCCAGATGTCCAGCAAAAATTTCCTGGGCAAATTATTTTTTTCTTATAAATACCAACATCAGAAAATAAGACTTCCCCCATCCCGTACAGCTGCAGTTTACCGGCTCTATCTTACAGTAAGCGCACAAGGCATTTAATATTTCGTTAAAAAGAAATTATCCCTGTATTACATAACTGGGTCAGAAACCAGAGGAGGTAGTTAAAGCTTTTTCCCTTTTCACAGAGTTCTTTTCAGTAATGGTCTACCTGGAGCCACTACTGTGCAAGATGGCACAAGAGCCAGCAGCCAGAAACACACTTTGCAGTCTCCCCTGAAGTTTGTACAATCAATTCTCTATAGCACAAGTCTGGAGAGGTTAGCAATGGGACACTGCACTCATTCAATCCAGCCTGTAAAACAGGTAAGGCAGCACCTCGGAAAGGGGAGGTAGCAAAAGTATTCCAGAGAACATCATCACCATGCTTTGTTATTTTAGACACACACTTTGAACATGTATTCTGGCTGCTTGGGGAGAAAAAAAAAAAAAAAAAAGAAAGAAAAGAAAGGAGGGGGGGAGTTTCCTTGCTAACTAACAGTCAGTCCTAACATCCTATAACAATCAGGCCTAATTGCAAGGTATTTTTGTTTTCTGGAAAACCTTTATTTCCCCTCCAAACGTTTCTCCAATAATTTAAGCTGCCTTCTACTTGGCTCTAAACTGTAGAAGAAAGCACAAAAAAAGGCAAAGTTTATACTGAATGTGTACAACAAAATAATAGATTCAGAAAACATCAGCATTCTTACCAAGCAGTTAAGAGAGTAATGGAAAGGGGAAAAAGCTTAAGATAAAACAATGCAGGTAAACATACCATCATAAGCACCTAAAATCTTTTCCGCTTTTCCCCAAAGACACCCTCTCACTGTCTAAGATTGCCTGGCTTCCAATTTTGAATTGATGGCTCTTCATAAAATGTAACAGCAGAATTTCCCCCCTTGAGTCCCCACATCTCTGAAACAGTCCCAGTTTCAGAAATCCCTTCCCAGTTTTCATCATTCTCTCTCCCAACAGTCACATATTTTAACTATATTTTTGGCAGGCAATGGAGTGCAACGAGCACGTCCCCTGTGTAACACTGCCTTCAAACTTCATGACACGTGGTACATCCGATGAGATACCAGAACTCATCAGAGCAGTGTGTCCTTCCCGTAATTAAAAGAATCTATGCAAGCGTGAGCAGGGTGATCCAGAAGGGAGGAGCTGGCCTCTAGACAGGGCTTGGACTAATAATAATGTTCAGGAGTACATAAGCAAGTAAAACAGGCAAGAGAAAGTTAAAACAATTTATGCTCCAATTATAGTGGCCAAGAGAAAAATTAAATTATGCACATAGAAGCAAGCCTAAGTCTCCAATTATCTACAAATGAGAAGTTGGAAAGTTCCCAGGTTTGAACATGGCAGAAGGAAAACTCCTAATACCTCACGAACAGCCCTGAACTGTATCGCGGGGAAAAGGCTCTATTTGCTCACAACGTATTTCCTGCATTTTTCTCCTTCGTTTCCAAGAGCATTTTCACAAGAAAACACGACCTTTGATCATTTTGCTACTTATTCTCTGCTGGAAGTCAAACTCCTCCACCTACAAAATCAGAGTCAGCACCAGAGAGGTGCCAGCCGTGCCTCTAAGTCACAGGAAGGTGTGAGGGTGTTGGGAGTATAAAAATCCAGTTGTCATGCAAGCGCCCCTTGTAACAAAAAACAAAAGGAGGCGTTCAGGACACACGGGGAGGTGGAAAAACAGAGTTTTCTGAAAAGCGTAATTTTCAAAAAATGCTGTGAGTTGGCATTTGTGGAGTAAGCTGCCCTGCTTTTGGCTTTAAAGCAACAGTGGGATCTCTCTACTCATGCATAATGTGGACAAGATACAATCTGTCTCTCTGTACCATGAATCTCTTCACCCACTGACTAATCTGAATGACACCAGTGGAAATCAGCCATCCAGTGTGACTGCCAAAATTATGAGAGCTTCACTGGCAGCCAGTTATTGAGAGATGGATAAATTATTTGGTTAGAAACTAATTACACACAGCCTGAGGGGGCTTGCAGTTTGTATTCTGCACAACAATAAAGAAAAATGGGGCTTGGCTGCCCTGAGATCAGAAATCTGAAGTGCTGGGGAGGCCATGGAGCAAAGCCTCTCCTCACAGAGGAAGAAACACTTTTGGGGGTATGAGAGAGGCTCACCTCAGCATCTCATCAGCCAGCAAACACAGCTACTACAGAATTAAATCTTGACCACCTAAAGGCTACATGAAGTTTAGAATACAGCCCAAACTACCACATGTCCTATATGTCAGGCAAGATTAGAAATAAATAAGCAGATAAATAAGCAAGCAAGTACTTTAGAAGGGTTAACAGAGACAAAGCCAAAACACTTTGAGCTTTCCTGCTTACACAGATTTAGCCAAGTCACTAAAAAAATTCACTACAGCCACTCTTCTTATTTCACTGTGAGACTAGCCTGTTGCAAGATTATGGGGCTTTTTGCTTTCAATATCCTACCTTCTCTGAAAAGTGAGTAGGATTTTAGTACTAGAAAATTATATTTAAATATACCCTGCTTCCTATGGAGGAAGGGAGGCTAGGGAAGCAGAAATTTTTCAAATACACATTCAGTATTAAAACCAGAAACTAGCATTAACTTGGCCGATCAGCAAAGCAAGCTTCACCAATCTCATGTAAAAATAAAACTCTTCTTTCCTCCAAGCACAATACTTGCATCTGTTACAAAACACATCTGCCTCTCTGTTTTACTTCCATTTGTTATGGCTTACCGCTACAAGTCCTGTTGTCAGAGTTCAAGGAATAGTGAGCTGGGCAGCCACAGACAAAACCACCAACAGGGACTGCCAAGCACAGGTGAGAGCAGTGACCATTGCTAGAGGCACACTCATTCCAGCCTGCCTGCCTGGAGGAATGGAAGACCAAGATGTCCATAACGTAATCCAAATGCCCTTGGATGATAGTTCGGTTCTGGCCACTGGTCTTGTTGGCTCGTTCAATGCTACGCCGGCTCCAGTCTGTCCAGTAAATGTAATCCTGATACTGAGTCAAGCCAAATGGGTGAGGCAAGTCATCAGCTATAATCTCACGGTCAAGGCCTGTTTCCAAAAAGGAAGGGAGAAAAAAAGCAGAATTATTTGGGGACAAAAGAGATGCTGTTTGTTGCTGCTAGACATGTCCCCTGCACAGAAAGGTTAAAATATAGTTACTTTAAAGTTACTATTTCATTATTACAAAAGTAAATTATAAAATAATGTGTAAGTGTGAAGTGTCTGAGCCTATCACAGAAATGTACTAATCCTGCTTGTGACTCACAGAACAGAACATATTTTACTAAAGAAAAAAGCCTCAGCTTTGAAAATAATCAAGAGTTCTCAAAAAGATTCTGTCCTTTCCCTCCTCCCAGAAACAAACAGGGTCCCACTGAAGGAGGCAGGATCCTGACACTGTACTCCCAGTTCAGCGTCTCTCACACCGCGTTTGGGTCTCTGCCCACTGCTTACAGAGATAGAATTGTTATGGGCTTAATAAGATTCTATGTTGTATTATGAGAAAAATTAAATGAACGAGGTTAAACTCATCTGCCTCTGAAATGCCATAACAGGAAGGAGCATTCAGAAAGTCAAGGTAGGAAACAGTTAATTGTGTATACCGTAGAAATGTTAAGAGACCTAAGGAGTAGGGCATGGGGGGGGGGGAAATTACTTCAACCATGTTATTTCAACCACTTCATTACCATGGGATGTCCTGCTGTCTAGTCACAGAAAATGAATGGGTGATTATGAAGCAAGAAGTCATTCCCTCTTTGTGCAGAGAAGAGGAGGATGCACAGCCCTGCACTCTTGCCGTCACCAGCCACAGGGAAGATGAAATTCTAATGGTGTGTCCAGTTCCACAGTACACCGGAGAGCACTGAGCCAGCCCCAACAGCATACCAAAATATATAAGGAGCTGAAGAAAAGCTTTTATATTGCATATAATTCCTAGTAATGCATTTTCCTGTTTTGATCTTTTTCTGGCTTTGTTCCACTATTGCAAATGTACTGTTTAAAGTAGACTAATTCCTTTAGCTTTAAATATTGGCTAGTGCTAACACTCATCTGGGTAATCTGGCACACAACAAGGCAGTCCACTCCTGTGGGTGCCGAGATGCTAAAAACATGATATTGTGCAAACCTGAGGGGGCTTAGGTTCTCAGTACAGTACCCCTGGGACAGTGAAAGAATAAAATATTCCACCTCCATTTAGCTGTAATGATCACTTTATAAAACAATCACACAGACCCCACTGTGAGAAGCCCCCTGGTGACCAGTGCTAGCCAGGAAAAGCTCTTTAACATGCAGGATATACTGAGGAAAAAAATGCCTGAACCCTGAGGATACCAACAATGATTAAAAACAAAATTATATTAAATTGCATTGTGAAAACTGTCCAATAAGCTGTTGTTATCTTGGCTTTCTCTCTACCTTTCTACAGATGATGAGGTGTTTGTTATGTATTTGCCAACAATCTTCAGAGAAGCAAAACAAGACTCTCCCAACACACTGAAAGTTGACAGCTTTGCCCTACATATAGCTGAGAACATGTACAACTTGTATAATTTTAACTTTGTGAGCACGTAGATTACCTTAAAGAAAATCGAGGCCTCGCTAAATGCTGTGTTGTATAAACATCAATTATAGAAGCAAATGTTAAAGGCGTGTGAGTTTGGAAAAAAATCTGGGTTTGTTTTAAGACGTGTATCTTTGCATTATTTAAGCAATAATTTGCCACAGGGAACTGTGAAAAAGCAGCAGCATCCCCATGATGCTGCCCAGGGCTCTGGGGCTCACCTAGCATGTTGGAGGATTCTATCAGGTTGGTATCGAGGTCAGTCCAGTACAGTCGTCTTTTAGCGTAATCAATTGTTAGGCCGTTAGCACGTCCCACATTGGGTACCAAAGTAGTCCGCTCAGTGCCATCCATAGCAGCTCTATCAATCTTTGGCTTACCACCCCATTCAGTCCAGTACATAAACCTGATTAAAGCGACAAAAAAAGAAGAAGAAGAAGAAAAAAATAATCACATTTATCCAAAAGAGAACTCAAGGGGAGAAGCAAGACAAAACAAAAATCCTTAGAAAGAGTAAGAGAAAAACAAGAGCTGTAAATTTGAGCATTTATTAAGCCCCATTACACTAAATGTTTTTTCAAAATACAAGCAAGGAAGTGAGTCAGGTTTCCTCAAAATGCTTCCAACACTACTTTTTCCACTTGGAGCTGGATTTCACCAGCAAGTTCCATATGAAAGCACTTCAGTCTTAACTAATCCATGCACGTCAGTTAAGAGGCAAAAGGTTGGTAGTTGGGCACCTTCATTTATACCTGGTTGTTTAGCAAGATATTTTCCATGGCATTTAGCTTCTGTTTCTATTCAATTGTCTATCAAATGAAGGAATACAAAAAGGTAGGCAAGCAGGGTACTTTTGTTAATAGGTGCCACTGCTCATTTCCATGCAACTAAGTCAATCGGCCATGTAAGCGTGTTACATTTCAGCTGAGGGTAGAATAACACAAAACTGTATGGCGTTTCCACTGGAGCAAAAGTACAAACTATTACATACTCACATGCCAGTTTATGCTTCATTTGGCACTGTACAGTAGAGGGCTGTATATTTGACATTTGGTGTCAAGTAGTTAGCCAATTCTTCCAAAACGTAAAGCCAATACCATTTTAAAAATGAGTGAGACATAACTAGCCAATGTTTACACCTTTATCCCTTAATACCTTTAGTAACAGACACCTGTGAATTGCTTTTAATTTCAAGCAACCAACAGTGGGAAAGGTTGCTTCAGAAACTGGTGATCAAAGGGGAGCTATTCTTTAGACACAAGGAATACTTACAAATTTTCCTTTAATTTTTGCACGTATTTTGTGCATAAATTTTGCAAGATGTGCACAGCATGAACTTAAGTGTTAGAATTGCTCCCATGGTAGTGATGCCATGAAAACTTTCATATGAAGTACAATGACATAGCTTAGCTACAAGACAAAATGTAAAGCAGGCATTCGGGCTCAAAACTAAATTAATTTTTTTTCTGGTCTGTGGTGAAGAGACAAAGCATTGAATTATAATAACCCTTGGAAAAAACTATTCCCAGTGTAAAACTAGAATCATCCGTAGCAACCTACTCTTACAACTGAGTACCTGGATCTAACAATCTTGTCTTGGATGCTCTCTGATACACTTGTCCAGGCAACCCCTGGCATGTCAGGGCTAAACCCCATCTACATGTCCCCCTGGGGGCGGTGCAGAACTCCTTTCGACTAAGCACTGTGACAGTGGCCACCACCTTTTTGAAAGGAAGCAGAAGGAAGTTGTTTTAGTGGTGCCACAGTTCTCTGCGTTGCTGTAACTCTTGCAGTGTCACTGGGAAGTGTGATAATTTCATAACGCTTGAAAATGAAGTTCCCTCATTCGTAAAATAAGAATAATACAGTGTTGGTACGACCTCAAAAAGGTTTTGCAGTAATTAGTTAATATCAAATGAGCATTTCATTGTAGAAGAGCTATTTCAGAAGCTAAATAGTTTTGCCTTGCCCTGCTCCTTCCTCCCTCTCCCTGCTTATTGCCCTACTTTTGCTATTACATTTGAATCCAGCTGAGGAGTGTCTTCTCAGGAAATATTTAATGTTGGGGATAGGTGGGTATAATTGTTTCTACTCTTTCTCTGTCCTTGCTTCCCTTGTCCATACCAACTAAAAAGGCTTCCTTATCTGAAGAAACAAACACCTTCCTTATTCTCAGACAATAAGCTTCACTCCCCCACTCTCAAGTTAAATCATTTAATACCTTTATTGGACCCTAACTTGTGATAAAAAGGATCCACATTTTTAAAAGAACAAATATTTTCTTTTCAATGCTATAGTCCTTTTCTAATTAATGAATTCCATAAACCTAAAAACTACTTTGATTCTGTGGTTAATTAAAAAACTAAATATAAATCCCTTTTTAATAAGCTGCTCTGATTTTTTTTGGTGTGGTATTCTTAATGATTATTCAGGACATTAAGAGCATATTCCTCCAGCCCTCGTACTCTAAATTACCAGGTTGTATTCCCCAGCTCAGTTCTCTCAGGATTTACATGCAGTGCCTCACTAACATGCCCTAGAGGAAGTATTACGATGTTGTTTTTCACTGTTCATAAACATAAAATTAAATCAGCAAGTTACCCCTCAGCAGGGTCCAATGCCAATGCCCGGGGACTGTCGAGATCTTTCCACACCAGCACTTGGCGATGCTGTCCATCCAGCTTTGACACTTCTATACGATTTGTTCCAGTATCAGCCCAATACAAGTTCTTCCCCAGCCAATCTACGGCCATGCCTTCTGGGTAATCCAAGCCAAACTCCACAACGTGTTCCAGTGCGCTGCCATTCATAAACGCTCTGCTGATGGTCTGCAGGGATACAAAGATACACAGGCAAATTAGAAATTTTATCAGTCTGTCATTGGGCTGGTTGTTTTCTTTGTTGCACTTTAAACACTTTCAGATTTTAGGCATCTCATAGGAAAGAGGATCTTACAATATGCTACTTATTTGCAAGGCAAACAATGCTGCTATTCAGAAGTAATGATTTACTGTACTCTATGAATGTATTCTGTGTCAATTACAATAGCGTTTCACTGGGGAAATAAATGGGATAACTAGTCTGGTTCAATTAAGCAGTCTACATGCCAAAGTGACCTTAAAACTCAGTGCCAACTTCGAGGGGGAAATATTTTGACTCTCCCAGGACTATACAAAAGCATCGATGTTATAGCACGGAACAATATTTAAAGCAGCCTAATGAAAAAGTTCAGGACGGAACAGCAAATAGAAGAAAACAACCTAACAGACGATTAGCTCACTAGTGCAAGTGCTTCAGTACTGCTGGCTTAATTTAATTTCACTAAGTAGAATTTCTTCTTGGTCTTTCATTCAAAAGACTTCTTTTAACTCTTGCCATCATGGATCAGCCTGTGATAGCAGATACAGCCAGAATTATGTTTTAATAATGTATCAGAGTTTAAGAATTCCCTGGGTTACTATGACCACTTGTAAGCCTGAAAGTAAAGGAATAATATTAGGACAGTACAAAATTCTTTTTGGCAAACATGGGCTTCCTTTCCGTGTCCTTAATACTGCCCTCCGCACACACTCCTCATAACCCATCAGAAGTTAACAGAAGACTGCTTTTTGTTTACTTCCCAGTGTGGATACTACCTGCTAATTATGCCAGTTTGTGACAGTCCACAGCAGGGAAGTTTGTATCTCAGTCTTCACCTGTATCACCCTTAAAAATTGATCAGATCATTGCTTTATTTTTATTTCAAACACAGCTCAAATAAATACCATAGCTAAAGAGTTCAGCCAAGTCACCTCTCTCAAATTCACCTAAGCTCTGTGTTTTCAACTTTTATGATCCTTCAGTTGCAAAGGTCCATGAGTTATCATTGGCACAGGTCTCAACCCAATTGCAGAAAACTTTCTTTTATTAAAAACTAATTTTTGGTGCTCACTATTCTGACTACATCTACAACCCGTGAAAAACAAAGGGAATAACTAGACTCACTGATAACAGACCGATAATACACAGGTTTCTGTCACTCCATGAACAACCACATTTAAACACCTATCCTTGACCTTTTCTGATTTGTCAGTCTAGACCCTAGACCTGTTTTACAAAGCCTGTGATTCACAATACGTTTCATGTGTAGTAGCTATGTAAGTTAATGAATAGGTAAGGCCCATTTTTCTCTTTCTGACCCAAGACAAGGCTTCCCCCCACTAAATATATCTGGCAAAACATCTGTGATCCCCGAAACCCCCTGCCATATGACATTCTTCTCAGTTTTCTATCAAAAAAGCTTTATTTTTGCAAACTTATCCTTTATGTGAAAATGTATACATTAGATTTAAATGATTTATAGGAGAGAACACTGCTAGCAGAATGAAAACGTATGCCATTCTTAGTTAGAACAAGCTCTTCTACTTGAATCCTGTAAATTGCATTTATCAATCCATTCTTAAGTATCTCAAGAACCTCATAACAACTTAATAGCCAATACGGAATAAATGGAAATATCTTCCATCTCTACCTTCAGTGAAATGTCAGTCCAGTAAATCCGATTGTCTGTCACATCAAAATCCAGAGCAGAAGCTTCCTTGACTCCAGTGAGTGGAATAGCAACGTTGTTGTTGTTCGTTTCTAAAGAGATTCGCCTGATATCTGCTCTCCGAGAAAACAGCAGGAAAGCTTCTGGGACAATGCAGGTCTTCATATCATTGATGAGCTCTAAGCCTATGGGGCAAGCGCAGCGAAGGCCTTGTGGCCTGTACAGACAAAGATGGCTGCAGCCGCCGTTATCCTCTGCACAAGGGTTTGTACCTAAGCATGCAACAAAAGCAAAAGTAATCACTGCAAACTGATTTCAGTTGGAAATTGAAGGTGGTCCTCACATGCATCAATGACACTACGAGTCCTTTAAGAAATAAATATAGTTTTTCACCTTTTATTCTCTGAATTTTTGTTCATTTCCTGTAATCCTTTAGACAGATCTTACTCTACTTGGCTGAAACGACAGCGTTTATTTTTCCGATCCCATGACACAAACATTGGGGAAACAAGCATTGGGGAAAGGGACCTGGACTCCAACAGCTACTGGTGTTCTCACTTCACAGCACAAGCACTGAATGGATGGTAAGTATGCAAGCAAGCCAGAGTATGTTCTGCTGCCTTTTACAGTATGCTGGTCTGGTTACACACCACAATTTTGTTCCTAAAGATGGAAAAGTTGCAGGTCTATTTTCACATCTATTCACTGGTCTCATCTCTCCAGGTTGCTAGAAAAGCAGCTCTTTGCAATACTGACTTGTGTAACCTGCACATGCTGGAAATCCACCCACTAAGAGAGGCCCAGCATTGCCAAGCTCAATTAGCCAAACAGTCGGAAAGAGAGCTGCATTTAAAATGCATGCACCTTACTTAGGGCATCTTGTTAATGTGGTAGCCGCAATGCAAAGATAACCTCAACTACACTGGACTAATTCCCTGGGATGCAATGCAGACATGGCAGCAAGAAGTTGCAAGCCCTATCCACACAGCAGAGTATTCAGGGAATTGGTGAGTTCTGTGGTGTTACCAGTGTTTGGATAGCCAACAGTAGCCAATTTAAAGCTAGATTCTATATTTTTACACCACAGACACTACAGGCCAGAAAGTACTTGTAGTTATTTTTAAAGATAACCACTGAAGTATTCTGCAGTATTAATGTGAAAAGCACTGAACAGCCTAAAACTGGCTCGTTCTCAGCTTTTGTATACTGGGAGCACATGTTCAGATTGCAAGATGAAAAGCTGCTACAGCTGCAGTTTCATAAACAGCTAGGCTAAGCTAATCGCTGGCTGTTATAAAGAGGAATTCTCATTTTCCATGATCCTTCTCCTCTCACTGGATCCAGGGTTGTTCAGACCTATGAGCTGCTCCAATTCCCTAAGCAACAGAAAATTATCCATTTTGGGGGGTGCCTGGTTGTTTTCCAGCTGATACTCTTCCAAGTTAGAGAACTGAAGCACCTCACAAGAGACGTACAGCCTGCAGTTATCATGCAATAAAACTGGATTCTGCCCATTTCTAAAAACCTGATCCAGTACAAAATAATACCTGCAGAACATTACTGCTGAAATTTTCTATTTCATTTTACTTGCCTGATGAGCAGTCTCACTCACCAATTATCTGGCGGACATTTGTAGCTTTCAGGCCCATTAGATCAGGCAGTTGATCTATGATGATCTCTCTTTCTGCTGTGCGCTTATGCACGCGTTCAATACTGCGTCTTTGCCAGTCTGTCCAATAAACGTAGTCTCCCAGCAGTGTGAATCCAAAGATATGAGGCAGCTTGTCCTCCACCAGAACTCTCCTCCCAGTTCCATCAGCGTTCATGACCTACGGATACACATGAATACAAACTTATATGTATACAGAATAATTCTGTCACTATTTATCAGGGATTAATTCACCAGCTGCTCCACACTTAAATTTTAAATTCAAAAATAATCTGCTAGCCATTAAAATGCTATCAATGTTATGCAGCAGTCTAATAAAACAAGCCTGTATTTCAACAGGTACTTAGTGTAAAAAACCACGGAGGATCATATATATATGCTATTTCAGAAGCAGATCATAACGTGAAATTATGACACAACATTCCTTTAATTTGCTTTATGAACTAATATTACGTGTGCCTGTTGGAGGTTGCTTCTCTCATTTCTGATTTAGCCTCTTGATTTAGTTTTGAATGGAAGACACTGCTTACAATATCAAGGAGTCCTGGCTCAGCATCTTGTAATCCACAGTCCCTCCCAAGTGAGCTTTGCCCAGGTTACAGGTAGCAGTAAGAGGAGGCCCCACATAAATTCTGGGAGGCAAACAGTCAAGGTGATCTACAGAATACATGTATATTCCCAGGTCTGAATAAAGAAACAGCTTTACAGTCTTCAAAACTAAGTTCAGTATTTTTTTGTACTAGAAGGAACAGTAATAGTCTGTAAATAATTGCATGTCTTTGATCAAGACACTTGAATTTACTGTGTCATTTTTCACTACTGCTAAAAAGAAGTAATACCTAACTTCCTCAAAGAGGCACTGAAAGGATTAATTGAACATATGTATGGATGTTCAAGTGATCAAGTACCTTACGAATGCCAAGTATTATTATAAAAAGTACCATAGTGACAGGAGTGAAGAGACTGCTGTGTTTTAAGAGAAGCTTACAAATGCAATTTTATAGAAAAGTTCCTTCTGAAATATTTCTGCTTGTTTCCAGTTTACAGCATGTATACTACCCTTCCAAAAAAAGGAAAAACCCCAACCTTAATGTAAAAACTTCTCAAAACAATGTGATTCACAAAATTCAAGGTAGCATACTAGTCCCTGAAACATTAAAACATCCTCCGCACTACCCAAGGATGTTCCCAGTTAAAGACTGGAAAAAGGGTGACTTACTAAATCACTGTTTTCAAATCTCTCTCACTTGCCTTGGTGGAATTAAGATAGCCACAGACAAGTCTGTATGATTTCCCATTCCTCCTGTGGCTCAAACCCAGAGACTCGGGCAACAACAACCTTCAGGATCAACTGGTTTAATAACTCTGGCTAAATAGATGATGTTTTGTGATCAGAAGAATTTGAGAAATGAGAAGGTTAGTTTGGAGCAACTCCTATCTTTTGTCCACCCAGGCACAGATGGGGAGGCAGGAAAGGAATAGAGAAACAGAACTGAAACCCATACTTTTATCAGCATACAGTATATGTGCACATTAATAAAATATTTTTAAGTTCACTAAAATGTGGAAGAAAAATGCTACAGTCTTCACAATAATTCAATTTCTCCTTAAAACTATTCCCTGTCATAAGCCTGACATTACTGCACTTAGTATGCTAGAATGGGAACCGAATCTTTATGTGCACACTTCCTACAGAAGAATGAAAGGGGCTCTGCATACTTGCTCGTTTGTAGGAATAAGCTCCATCTTCACTTCAGAAAAAAAAAGCAGCTCATAATTACTCTATGGAATTGGCTTACCAAAAAATCTTCAGTCTAGTAGTCTATGACATGTTTCTACACACACACTAATGTACATGCATGACAAAAATAAGATGAATATTACTTAAAATGGTTTTGTCCTACGTTCTCACAAAGATCCTTCAGAAAGGCAAGCGCAGTACTGGCAGCTTCGCTTTGCATTATGGTGCATTTACCATCCTAAAGCTGTAACTTATGTCTTTCACGCTGATAACCAAGTCCAAACATAGCTTTTCCTATCACAGATTGTTTAGCTGGGCTCAGAGCCCAGCATAATTGCCTAATTTCTGGACTTCCTTTTGAAAACAAGCTCTGCTATTAAATTTATTCTACTTCAAAAAAATTTCAGCATCTGCTGGCACCCTCAATTCCTAGCAGCATGCCTCCTACACTCTGTTTTGACAAATGAGGTTGCTAAACAACAAACTAATGGTTAACTTTAGAACCAGGGACACAGATTTAACATCCGTAAGACAAACTGTGAGTAACAGTCCTTAAGTCCACCATCCCTTCAAGAAACCATCACCACCACCAAGCAAAATTGGTCATCCCCTTTTGCCTACCACCCCTTTTCCAACCCTAACACAGTCACCTTGCATTTCTGAGATTACTTGTTTCCCCCTCCCGCTTAAACGACAGAGATAAGTCGTTTGCTTGCAACTAATTAACATATGGCAATTAGTGCTTGCTAAGCAGACCAAACAGATACACAGAATGGATGGATGTTGGAAAGTGGATCAACTAAAACCACACAGTAATAACCACTAAAACATCACTATTGCAAAGCAGTATCTTTAGTTACTACACTTTTTGCCTTGTACTTATAAAAGGAATAAAATTCTGTATTTAAGGGCCTGCTTAACTACTAGCAAAGAGAATTAGTTGGAAGGTAAATGGCATGAGGTGAACTTTCTTTAGCAAACTTTCAATGGGGAACTGTTGAAATAAGCTTGCTCTTATTCTGAAAGAAACTGAGGAAAAGAGAAAGGAGGACTTCAGTATTAAGTATCTGCTTTTAATTAATTTTTGGCTTGCCATGTACAGGTTACTTTGAAAAACAGCTTTATGCCACCTAGACAAAACAGATGCCTATCTGAAAGTACTTACACATACCTGCCACCCTATGCCCACTGCAGTCTTACCTAAGCCCATCTGTGTGATATTACTTAATATAAACCCCTGTCCATTAGCAGCTGGGTACCACTATATGAATAGTTCCATGGTACCACGTTGTTTCCACTCACTTTATCTGCATTTTAGGACATTTCAATAGAATTTCATCAATAAGCTACAGAACCAAACAGTCTGGTGCAAGGCAGAAGCAAAGTGGCATGGGATATAGGGATGATGTAGTAAGTGCAAGGAAAAAGAAACAATCACTAATCAACCAATTTCAAAGGATTTCAGCATCATCTTTTCACATACTGAAATTCAGGTGACAACTGAGTCCCAAGCGATACTTCTTTACACATTCATTCCCCTTCTCCAGCCCCAGATGGATCAGCTCATCATGGTGAAGCCTAGCCACACAGAATCCCCCGTACGAGAAACCCACCTTCTGCTGCTATGAGGCAGTGTCTCCAGCGGTTTATGCTGCTTTACCCACAATGTGGTGTGGGTTTCACATTCTGAGGCCATTCTGAATACTGAAAACCACAGGGAGAATATAGACTACAACAGGAAACAGATGTTGTGCAACCACAAACACTACCTTTACTGAAAGAGCGAGTAGTTCCATGAAAAAAATAAATAAATAAAACGAAGTAAAATAATTAAATGGCCTCAGAAAAAAATACCAGATATTCTGCCTATAGGACAATGGCCTTGCTTATCCTAGAACAGTAACAAATGCAAACCTACGGCCTCATGAAAATACAGCTTATTCAAAATAAAATTAATTAATGCTGAAAATATGGTCATGTTTAAAATTACAGACTGGATCGTACAGTGATACATTCTAAAGGTCTTCCTTGCTGTCAGATACCCTGGTTTCAATTCACTCTTAAATACCAGTAATAACTGTGGTAAATAGGCTAATGCAGTGAATTTACCTTTCTGATAACCTGTGATTTGAATGTGCGGTAGTTTACACTTGTAATTTGACTGGTTTAAGTCCAGAGCTCAATCATTATACCTACCCAATCTGTGAAAATAATGTTCAGCTCCAGCTGGAGCTCATGCAGGAGCCCTGGCAAACCTAGGCAGGGCCCCAAACAGGACTAGCAATCTGCTCAGCTCCAGCAGACCAAGGCCAGTGGCAGTAGAGGCTAGGCGGATGTACACTAGCTCATATCCACAGCATGGAGGAGATGACAGTAATAGAAACTGTTTGTCCCTATCCGGCCATACTTAGATTAACACCAAATGTAAGAGCCCAGCACTACAAGGCGCTAGACAGGCACAGTACTGATAACTCCCGGAAGAGAAGACAGCATGGAGGAGCTGGAAAGAACACACTTTCCAATGCAAATCTGAAAGACCATCAGACAAAGCTGGTATGATTTACTCATGATTAACCTAGTGCCATAAGCAGGGTGATAGTGTGCAAACCATTACCTTTCATTTTAACCCATGAGCACAGTTTAATCTTGGATGTAGAATCACAGAGTCATAGACCAGCCCAGGTTGGAAGGGAGCTTGAAAGATCATCTTGTCCAATCTTTTGTGGGAAAGGAAGCCTAGATGACATTATCTAGCACCCTGACCAGTCACATCTTGAAAACTTGCAGTGATGGGGACTCCACTACATCCCTCGGCGAATGATTGCTCTCACGGTAAAATATTTCTTTCTTGCATTGAGGCAAAACTGCTCCCAGTGCAACTTGTGCATGTTGCCCCTGCCCTCTTCATGTGGCTCTTTCCAAAGGGAGACCCTCCATCCTCCTTGTAGCTGCCCCTTAAGTACTGGGAAACTGTGATGAGGTCCCCCCGAGCTTTCTCTTCTGCAGGGAGAAAAGACCCGAATCCTTCAGTCTTTCCTCACAGGGCAGGTTCTCCAGCCCTTTGATCACCTTTGTGGCCCTCCTTTGGGCCCTCTCCAGTCTGTCTCAATCTTTTTTGAATTGTGGGGACCAGAGCTGGACACAGTACTCTAGGTGTGGCCTGACAAGCGCTGAGTAGAGGGGGATGATCATGTCTCTAGCTCAGGGCCAACGGCATCCTGGCTTGTATCAGAAATAGCGTGACCAGCAGGATCAGGGAAGTCATCCTTCTTCCCCTGTACTCGGCACTGGTGAGGCCGCACCTCAAATACGTTGTTCAGTTTTGGGCCCCTCACTACAAGAAGGACTTTGAGGTGCTGGCGTGTGTCCAGAGAAGGGCAATGAAGCTAGTGAGGGGTCCTGGAGCACCAGTCTGACGA